CCAAGAACAACTCACAACGTGTACAGAGGCTGGGCACTTTTTATAGGAAAGACAGTGAGAACAGGATAAGAAAATACAAAACAGATCAAATAAACAACTCCATATGTGGCGCTAGTCTCGTCAGCAGAGAGCTGGGAGAAAGCTGTGAGAGATAAAACAATCTAAAACAATATGTCCCAGAAACAAGATGTCTTTGCTGGGAAAGTCTAAAAAGATAATTCTAAACTAATCTAACCATAGGCAAAGGGCAGACAAACGGCATCTTTGTACATTTAAAAGAAGGTAAAGAAACATAGAATCATTTTTCCTGTAACAGGCTTCTAGATATAAACTAGTCTAAACATGTATGGAAGATTTTGGACCAGCGTTTAGACTGTGTTCTCCACCTTCATTGTTGTGATGGCAACTGTGTAATCACTGTTTGTTAATGTGTGGATAATAAATCCACGTCCTTGAAGCTGGTGGGGAAAATCAGCAGACTACTTCAGCAGCGTAATCAGTTGACTCCAAAAGAGGAAATATCTCTAAGAAGAGTTGTTCCTTTCCTTCAGTGGAGATCCAGAGACTTACAGAGTCAATGTCAGGCAAGCTTTTCTGGTAATTGCCCAACATCTAATAAAGACACTTAGTGGCGTTTTTATTTAATTTGTCGTATTTTCTGTATGTGTATTTCCAGTTTAGTTTATCAGAACCACAGTTTAAAATGGTTTAAATCCGAGTTGTTTAAAAACAAATACAAAGATATTAAGTTATGCATTTTTAGCTGCCTGCTAAGTGTTGAGTGAAGGACACTTTGCAAGCTTATTACGTCAGCAGCGTGATGTCGACTTTTGTTGCTCAAAACTAAGTGAAAGTTAATGTATATTTGTGTGACCTGAGACTGAGAAGCAAGACTTGCAACATTTATTTACTTATTTTAATACATTGATCATGAATAACCTGAAGATTTAACTGTGTTTTTGCTCACTTTACAGGAGAAAAGACTTACCTCCACTATGTAATCTTGTGTCTGTATTCAATTGAAATCAGTGGTTTTTATTTTTTACAGTGATACCTTTCAGCCATTCTTACAGGAAGACTCAAAAAATAGACTTAACTGTAAAGTGGAAATCATCCGTTTTAAATAAAGTGAAAAACATATTAGCTTACATTATAAGCATGAGAGATGCTCATGTGAGCTTGTGGTCCACTACCACCCTTACATGATTTGGGTTTTTCCAACAATTCCATTAAGATGGCAAACATTCAGATGAAAGTCAAATACTGATGTTAATAAGTTACACAAGGGATGTGTGAATGCGAGAGCTGTAGTTTCTGGCAGTCTGCCCTTCCTCCTCAATCCAGTCTTAGCCAAGCTGACCTCCAACACATTCAACCTGTGAGGGCCCGGAGAGGGCGTGTTCACACTTGCATGAGTGATGTGTGCCTCTGAGCGGATGAACCTGATAGTGAGGTTATCATCCAAGCGTCTGCTCAACTGGAGTCAGACTTGAAAATCACTGGCCAGAAATGAAACAGGTCAACTGGAACACACAGACACACACAAACAGGGAGAGAGAGACGTATTGCATACTGACCTTTACTTATCTATTCTTTTTCTACATTTTACAAGCGGCAACTTTATTTTCAAAGCACATTTCAGACAATAATATATAATAATATATATTTATCACACACACACACAGATATATGTATACATACATGCCGCCTTTGTGCTGCGAGTTCTTCATACTCCTGAAGCATCTCCGGTCATAAGCTCTCTCTTAGTCAAAAATATACTTTTAGACTGGTTTGATAAACTCCCGACACTAAAAGGGTGCATACATTCGTGTTCTGTTGGCATTACTAAGTACCAGCCGCTACCAGTTTGGGCCATCTGTTGATTTCAGAAGGAGCCGTCATTGTATTCTGCTCAAAAATTGGAAACAAGAAAACTTTGCAGCTTTTACTCACAAATAACTGGGAAAAAAAACAAATGAATCATTTTCAGTTTCTTTCTGTTAAAACTTTTTAGATCTTCACTGGTGCTTAATGCCTCCAAGAATTAGTCATATGCAGTCTTGTGCACACAAATGCTTTTGACTTTTCTGCTCTTACATGACATCAACTAAACTTGCAAAGCAAATATAGTTTCCATTGGCAGTGCAGGTGGTTACTGAGTTTTTGCCACTTCAGTTTTTCCCATACTAGAGATGCTCAGCTGGCTTTGCAAGATTACCCACTTGAAGTCTTTGACATGTTTCTGATCATTTCTGAACTTTTTCTTTTTTTTGCTCTTGTTGCATTATTAACTTGCTAAACGAGGCTTTATTCCGTGAAGTGGTTGAAATGAATGCTAAGTTAGGTGGTGCAGGTCAAAGTTTCACCTGCATGAATGCACGCAACACTTCTCCAAGGATCACAGAGCCTTATAAAGGTGCCATTAAAAGATGATAATCAATGATACTGAGTTCATCTGTTTTGGCTGAGAGACATAAAATAATCTACAGTAAGATTCTGGTGCTAATTTGAAATTCTTTAATAATATGGTAATCAAACATCCACGATGTGATTCCACCTGGAACGGTAGCACTCCGTGCCGTCCACTCACTTAGTTTTTTTGTTACATCTCTCCAGTAAACACAGAAAAATTAAAGCAGGTTTGAAAAAGGTTGGTGCCTTTTTTAGTTTTCCACCAAAAAGAAAGGTGAAAAAAAGAGGAACAGACCGCGTTCTCTATCTGGCATCTTAATGTGCGAATGAACATGGCTCAGATTAAATCCTTCTTGTGATGTCTTTGGCTGATAAAAGTGATTCTAGTTACGACGTGTCACTGTGAAATACAAAATAGGATGTACTTGGGTTTACTTTCTGTGGGAAGAATATAGTCTAGGTGGAGAGTAAGAGTCGATATATCCATAATCACAGCTGTGATGTTATACCAAGTAATTGGTTAGCTCACTGTGATGTTATACACCCAATAAAAAACAAGTGGAAGCCATGCCAAGTCCTCTACCTGTGAAGAGAGTGGCTGAATCAGTGGCAGTGATCTGTTTGCATCAAGATGACAGACACTTCAGTGTGAGAGCAGAGCCAGACAGACACTCTCTGTAATTTGGATGATGCTTCTCAGTATGGGGTGCCAGAACAAGCGGGAATCTCCATAAATGCTTGCTCACATTGCAGCCAGAGGTGTCCCAATTATTTATTTTCCCTCACAAGACAGCTGTTATCTAATCAGTATGAAAAGCACAATGTTGCATAGAGTGTCAGATTTTTAATTTACAATCTGGACCACCAGGTTATTGGGTGCAGAATCAGATCTGTGGCTGGCAATAGCTTAAAGGACAAGACATGATCTGACTCATTGAAATTTTACATCCTCCTCAGCACCAATTACATTCTACACACATAACCGAAAGGTGTTAAAAATCTGATGTTAAAATGTTGGCGTGAAGGTGATTCATTTCTTTCATTTAAGCTTCATTGTTTTTGATTTTGTGTTGTTGCTGAATGTGGATTATACTCTTAAAGGCACTGAAAGAGCAAAAACATGTTGCAATTTTCCAGCTGGATAGGACTATGATGTATACCAAATCCTAGAAGAAGAAAGCAACCAACCTGAAAAGAGGTTACCTTTTTTGAATGTTATCAGTAACATACATTCCACCAGAAGGTGACTTACTGCTAAGTTGCTGTGAACACATTCAGTGGTGGCTGTTGAAAAGTGTTTCTAGGTTTAAGTGCCAACAGAAGCAGACAGTAAGAGTTAGAAGAGATAGTCAACTGGATCAATGGAAGTTGACATTGAACTGTAACAGTTCAAAGTTTGCAATACATGCAATACATTATTTGGGCTCTATTGTATGGAAGGCTGTTTCCGCCACTAAAAAAAAAAAAAAAGTATCCATAACATGAAATTTGAACTTATTAACTCAAAATTTCAAGAAAAGTACCTTGAAATTTTGACTTACTTTTCTCAAAATTTCGAGTTAGCTCTGCCAATCAGTAATCTACATGAATGACGTCATTTCCTTGTTACCCGGAAGCTGAAGCCCTCAGCTACAAATGCTACAGCTAAGCTACCAGTATTACAGCCATGAATGCACAAATTGCACAAATTGCTGAGTATTTTCAGCGTGGCTTCACAAATGATGAAATCTTTGTGTTATTAGCTGAATCACATGGCATTACTATCAGCCAACGTACTCTCGAAAGCGCCAATTTGTTGTGATCCAGTTTTAAATGCACATTCATCTGCACCATATCCTTCTGGGTAACAAGAAAATGATATCATTCACATAGATTACTGACTAGCAGAGCTAACTCGAAATTTCGAGAAAGAGAACTCGAAATTTCGAGTTATGGATACTTTTTTTTTTAGTGGCAGAAATGGGCTTCCATACTATTTAGCTGAGTTTGCTAGCTTACAATAACATTTGGAAACCAAATTTTTCACATAGGTTTTCACATAACCATTAGATGGCTACATTATCTGTGCCACTCTGTGTTCATCAGTGATTATAATTAGATAATAATGGCCCCTGAAGCTGCTCAAACGTAGAGGAGCTTCCTATTAGCAATATGCATGGGACTGATACAAAGTGACAAGTCATTAAGTGAGCTTTTTTTTTAGTGATGACAGTCACAAGGACTTCAGCCAAACAACCACCCATTACAAATCTGTAATCTCTCATTTAAAATTCATTTGACAAGAGAACTTTGACAGGAAAACATAAAGTAAAGAAAAACCCAATCAACTGGCAATCATAATCTGACAGAAGAATTACTTAGTAAAAGGTGTAGCACACATGTAAGCCTTATGACTGGCACAGTAGAAAGCCTAACTGGCCCACTACTGTTTTAGTTCTTTTTTTGGATTTTTTGTTTGTTTTGTTTTGGGGTTTTTTAATTGAGAAAATTATCCACCTATGCTGGTGTCATGTCTGAATGCGGGAATGGCAAGAAAAAAGAAAGTGGAGCTAACTTACTAAACCATTTGTTTGGCTGTGTTTCCACAGATGACTGCAGAAGCAATTCTCCGACTGGTCAATGATCCCGTGCTGCCATTTTACCCTCTAGACATCGCCCTGGATGTTCAAAACAAGCTCAAAGGTAACACTGATGATCATGTGTTTTCAACTGCGGTGATGATAAAATACAGTCTAGTGGTATGTGCATGGAGAGAATGATGAGGCTAGGTGTACTATATACTGACTGACTTCCACTAAAAAGCACACAAACAAAGGTAGCAAAAAAGTGTGGCGCATTTTGAAGATGAAGAGTTTTGTATTTCTTTCAGTTGTTATGGAGAACAAAACAGTCAAAGAAGAAAAGTGGGCATAAGCAAGATAATATCATAATATGACTTTATATTTGTCTGCTGGATGAGTAAAAAGATTTGCTTCTTCATATCCACATATAGTAGTGTGCAAAGGAAAAAGGAAAAATAACAATAAAAAGTTTTTAGTTGTGGTTTTTATTTTAAAAAGAGATTAATTATTTGGCATAAGATGATCATTCAGATTGAAAACAAGTAGCAGTTATGCCTGAGTATCTACCGCTTTAGACAGACATAACAATGAGTTAGGAATAATAAGAATCTGAGTTCAATAACTGTATTTCTTTGTTCTGAATCCAAGGTAGCTAATATTTAAGCAAAGGGCTCTGTAGTCTGCTTTTCAGCTCTTTATGTCAAAATTGTGCAGTTGCTGTCTGTGTGTTTAGCTAACAAGCCAAAGACCAGTTCATACAATGTGTTGAGACCCACAGGCCTGCAGCGGTGCAGCTGTAAAAGATAGCCTACTTAAAGCATTTTGTTTTATGTATCTGTGGGAGTGTTCATGTTGGTTGTTGGGGAGTGTAAATTAGGAAATGATGCATAAGGTGGCTGGTCTGTGGAAATGAGTTATGCATCTGCACAGAAGTCCATGACAGCAGCTACTACACACACACACACACACCGCAGAGCTTTCTGTAGTTTCACACAGTGCAGGCTAAAATATCACCATTCAAACTGCAAAACTGCAGAACCCTTTGTCAGGATGCTCATTGAAATAATGCATTAAGTAACTTTTGTCCAAATTTTGACCAGGACAGACTAAGAGTCAGATTCACTAAGTGGCAGACTTACCTGAGACCACAATCTCAAAAATGCACTGATGAGAGTGGACAGTTCTGTGGGTGATCTACTAACAATGCATTAAATTCTAACACAGCCAGCCAGTAAAGAGTAGCAAGAATTCGCTATCAGACTCAAAGAATGAGCGAATAATGTACCTACCAAAATAATACCGCGTAAGCACAGGTTTTAGTGTTTCTCCGCTGAGGAGAGTCCATGTGTTTTTGGTATAAGGGTAAAATTTGCAGGGGACTTTATAGGTAGGCATTATAGGTTTCTCTGGATAAATGTGATAAACCTGAAATAAGTGTGTAAAATTTGAGCTGCATGATGTGCAGACAAACTTGAAACATTATTTAGAATGAGTTACCCTTACTCTGCCATGGATGTAAATCCATGCATTGCTTTTGTTTTCCTCTATGAGGCAGCATGTATTTATGAAAGTCGATATTATATATCGATTTAACACATCATGAATTTCTGCAAGTTGACAGACATTTCAGTGTTATATATATCCAAGGTTTAAAAAAAGCTGCATGTGCATTTAAAACATTGGACTCAGTAAAGAGTTACATGACAGATCCAAAGCTTTGGCAACGCTCTCAGAGCACCGAGCCATCCACCCACACCAGTTACATGCTTTTCCTGACAACATCCTCCCCTGGCATTTCAAATAAATCCACAGTCCTAGCAGCAACTATCACAGTCACTTCAGGCGCAAAAAAAGACATGCTTTTTACTGCACTGACTTCAATGCAATTTGCAACAAATTGCCTGCAGCACACCTTAGTAAATCAGATTTGTAGGTTTCATTTAAATATGCTCTTCCCAAAAGTTTTGAGCTATCAAAGGGAAACTCCTAGAAAGACACAATAAGGATACAAAAACTCTGTCCACACCTTTCTATAGCTTTTTAAATACATAATACAAATTTGGTCCCATATTGCAACCATTGAAGAAGATATTAACAGTGATGTGGCTGCCAGAGAACATATGTGTTAATATATTTCAGTGACCAATTACTTAATTACTGTGACTCTCAAAAAGATTTTCATATTTTTTAAAAGGAAAAACAATCTACAAAGTTAACTTAAACCCCATTTGGAAAAAAGGATATCATAAGGATGCACAACAATTTCAACATGCAACAAAAGAGTTGCAGAATGTTTCTCCATGCAGGCACATACACATGGACATGCAGAATAATGAAGAACTGTTTCAGCTGATTAAACCAAAGTCTTTCTCTCATGATTACACAACATACTGACTTTGATTATTTTAATTTGTAAATCCAGTAAAGTGTCAAATGTAATCCCTCTCAGACTTTTACATCAGCCCTGAGAAAACTAAGTCTTCTTGAGTTGTCCTTTTGTTGTAACTCCCATAGCTTTTTCTGCACCCTCTCATTCTTCTGCTCTTACTGTTCTTGGTTCTCCTCTTTCAGCACAGTATATATCCTTGTATCGAAAAGGTGGTCTTGAATCTGTATCAGTGTGTGTGTGTGTGTGTGTGTGTGTGTGTGTGTGTGTGTGTGTGTGTGTGTGTGTGTGTGTGTGTGTGTGTGTGTGTAGAAACTGAAAAGAAATTAGAAATCTGTAATGGATGTAAACACCAGATTCATAACAGTCCAGTATGGCTGTAATGCCTTGGCTAATGGACTGTAGTAAACCACTGAGGTGTTTCATACAGATTCCACGTTCACTTTGAGAGATCATTTGCAGTAAAGCAGGTTTTTTTTTTTCTTGAAATCTCTGGTCATTTTTTACTTTAATTTATTAAACTTCATTTCCTGTGGATCGTCAGGTTAATATCTGTTCTGTGCATGCAGCCGATCCTCTGTTATTCCAAAAAATCAATTTAATTCACTAAGCAATCTAATTATAAGATATAATTAACATTAGGAATGGATATTTTCGATTATACTGAATAAATGTTGTGTGGAATCTGGCTAGAGCGAGCAGGTATCTTGTACTGTAGGTCAAGTTAATAATCTATCAATTCGAAGCTAAATTAATTGACTAAATTAAATGGCCCTGTTGTATGACTTGCATAAACACACTTGCATTTATAAAACCTAAAAAATGTGTGCCGTTAGCTAGAAAACATAGCAGTTTTGTCAAGGGATGAATTGAAACCCATGAAAATGTACATTGTCAAATACTCAGCGGTTAGCATGCTGCACAGCTCCAGCCTTCTGAGCCAAAATCAGCTTATTCAGTCACAGTCTCCAAACATGCAAAGACTGTCCTTGAATATTAAGATGACTATTCAAAGAGGATGGACAACAAAGGCTTTAATACATTTACCCTGCACGCGGCCTTCACACAGCCTCAAAGTCAAAAATAAAAAAATAAAAAAATAATGCAATGTTAGTTTTGTTATGCATGAGGAAAACAAGCACGCTGTCGAACCGAGTGAGTTCTATGAATACATTTTGATTGGTGCACACTGTACCGAGCTGATTCTTCAGACTCGTGATAAAATAAATCTATAAGCCAAGGTGTATCAATCATTCACACACTATGATCAGAGATTGAAAGAGATGGAGATGGAGAGATGCTCTTCATGACACGTACTGTAGCTCTAACTTCAAGTCTCATTCATTGTACCACTAAGGCAATCACTCAGTGGCTCGGGTTCAGTGGCTCTGTCTAAGTATGTAAGCATTGTCCCATTAATGCCTAGATTGAGTGGTTATGCTTCCTCATCTGAGACTAATGGACAGATTATAACCTGAGAGAGAGAGATGACTGATTATTATACCTGCCTGTAGCCCCTATGTCTATTTCTTCATCACCCATATGTCTGTTCCACTGATTCTCTTCTCTGTCATTTCAATTCAAAAGCACTTTATGAGCATGAAAGCTACACCGTCTTGGCAACTTTGCACATAAGTGGTGTGCTGAAGAACCGTACTACAAATGAGTGTCATTTTTTTGTAGCTAAAAGGTGAACCATCCAACAAAGAAACAAACAGCAGCAGGAAATTACACCATCAATTTGTAGCACAGAACAAGAAAAGTTGAAAGAAATGTGCTGTGGTTTCGCTGGTCCAGACTGTTGAGTTTTATATAATTCATACGTGAAGCTTCCGATATTTAATTCGGCTACTCTCGCTACTCAATTCCTACTTAATCTTTTTTTGTCAAAAAAGGTAATATCACCCACTGCAGCCATCCTTCTAAACCTACTGTAGGACTTTATAACAGTCTAAGTTCTGTCCATATTCTAAAAAAAACACAAATCTTTGGCATTTTTCCATCATTAGAACAACCTGTTTGGATAAGTAGATCATGTTTCTTATTTATTTATTTATTTGCTCTTCAGTCATCAGTCTAATATTTCGTTAATTATATGTGTTGTTGGAAAGATGGAGCAACCGTTACTATGGTTACTAAAGGTATATTTAGGAGTTTTTATTTTCTGCTGTGGGTTTAGCTAGCTATATTCTGAATGCTGCCTCTGACCATTAGATCATGTGTTAAATTAGAAAAAGAGCAAAAACACAAATCTGTTCACTAAGACACTGTTAGTCTGAAGTTGCATCATTATTTAAATGCTTAAGAAACTTAAGTAATAGAGCGTGTATTATCCAAATAAGTTTGTATAAAATCAGTCATATACAAGTAAAAAACTTTACCCGAATAATTCACTGTGTATGTTAACATGTTTGTTAAGTTTATGAGCATTGGGGCTAATTTTTCAAAAAGTTCACTTGTTATATTTTTAGTGGCCTGAGGTCCCATTACAGTGAACTGATTAATCATAATGATTATAATAATCCTATTTTGTTCAAAGGTTAACATTTGAAATATGATATTAGGGACGTGGCCTTTGATTGCTATGAGGCTGCTGTCAGTGGCGGTTAAGGAGCTGTCTGCTAGACCAGCGGTCCCCAACCTTTTTTGCGCCACGGGCCGGTTTATGCCCGACATAATTTTCACGGACCGGACTTTAAGGTGTCGTGGATAAATACAACAAAATAAAACTAGTA